GAACTGTAAATTACCAAATTTTGGTAAAATTTAGCTGTGGCTTTGAGAATTTTTACTAGTGACATATTTTACTTTATACATAAAATCCTGTTGTATCACAAAGATCATATAATAAATGATTGACCTATACTCTACCCTTAAAGCACCAGCAGAACACTATTTTTATTGCAATATTTATAAACAATGCATCAATACCTTTGCATAAAAATAGTATAAAATAATAAATTTATAATTGTTTTTCCAATACTTCTACTACACAAGATTATTATTTATTTTTATAAAAAATAAAGCTATACAAAAAGATTTGACCAATAGTTCTCAAGAGCATATCTGTTACATACAGATTTATATTGTAAATTAATCATTAGCTAATTCACTTTTGTATAATTCTTCATACCAACATATACAATATGATTACTGTTTACAAAATACAATATAATCAGATTTCTTCTAAGTATTGGTGCTGATTCTAATAAAAAAAATATTGCACACTTTTTATTATCCTTATCAAAGATAGTTATAGAAACCGAAAATATGTCAGCAGCCAATTATGAGCAATCAGGTGACAAAAACCAAAGTGAATGTGAATATAGTAATCCTCAAGACTCTAATATCCATTTAAGTAAATTAACATTATAGCCTAACTATTTTTTATAAACCTCCATATACTTATTCATATGACTATTCATGGCTAGTTTGACAAGACTCCAATTTTCTTCATTGCCTTTAATAGCAATAGCAAATGCTCGAAATCTGCAATTTTCATCACTCTTTGGATCATAAACTTGATCTATATCGTTACTTAGAATTTAAGAATTTAATAAAATCTTCAACCTTTTATCTATATAAATGATAATAAATTAATAACTTGTATATTAATAATTTGTAATTATTAAAAATGTATACTACTATCAATATGAAGCACCAAAACATTTTGCGAAGAACTAGCATCTTTAATTAGCTTTTTTTTAGTAGAACCGATTTTCTTTTTTTTAGTATCACTGATTTTTTTTTTTTGTTTCTGTTTCCATGCATTCTAATGCTATCAGTAACCATTTGGTTCCAAAAGAACAACTTTTTTTTTAATTTTTTTCAGAATACTTATTTCAGAAAGTTTTGTTTCCAGAACTGCTAAAATGTTGTCAAGTTTTTCTAATAGAGTTGATTTTTGCTATTCATCAGAAAAGCTCATATCCTGTATTTCAATCTCATATAATTGAGACTTAAGCAAAAAATCATCAAAATTAGCCAAGAACAAATCATTATTTAGATAATTAGAACTTAGTTAGGGAACAATAACCATCTTTTTGGTATAATCGATAGCATAACAGGACCTTTTATTAGAAGCATATATTGGCAGGGTATATTATAATTGACTCATAATTCACGTAGTGGCTTTAAGAAGCTCATTCTTGATCTTATTCAGAGCAAATTTTGCCACCTTTCCCAAAAGTGGTCCTAATCAATTCTTGTCATCCAATATTAATAAAGGTTCAACATTCGTACTTTCACTATCATATTGTAGCAATCTTTCTTCATAATGCAAATGTAATCATCTGTCTAGTGAATTAAAAGATTTCGTTAAACTTCTTGAGGACTCAATGGCATATTTGATAGCCGAATGTGCACTTTCGACGTATTATGTAGTTGTAGAGCCAAGATGCATTATTTTGCTGGTATAAACACCAACCTACTTCTCTTTAACTTTTAACATCCTATTAAAAATTATATATATATTAAATTAATATAAAATTAAACATTAGAGAATTTTTACTTGTACACTATGTGTATATACACAGATATTGTTATTTTGTTAAAATTTTTATTAATAAAACTACTTTTGAGGTTTTAACAAAAAAAGATTCTTACAATATTTTAGTATAAACTAATACCTGTGTATATACACTACAAGGAAACCAAAAAATTTTCTAAATATTAAATTAATTGTTATATTTAAGAATCTGTTTAATATTTATCTGTCAATATATTTTATTGCTTCACTTGCATTTAGACTTGAGGCCAATGTTTTGTATGAAGCGATTGCTAGATTTAATGCTTTACGATCTCCCGAGTAGATAATTTGCTTTACTGTTTTGATAATTTCGTCATAAGAATCATCTATGAAATGTCTTTTTAAATTTTTTTTGAAATTATTCAAACGTGCTATATGCATAAAAGGTTTTCAAATTGGGAAAAAAATTTTTTAAGAGCACTAATTAACGCAGCATCATTATCTGTAATGAATACAGAGAAAACAATGTCAAAAAAAATAAGGGATGAGAGCTTTTTAACTATCCAACTATATGATTTCTCAGATTCATCTGAGATCCAAGCACCCACTATGCCAAAGGTTTGTAACTGGTTAACCCCAATGTTACTAATATCGACAAAATTAATGAATAGTAGTTTGTAAACATTTGTTTTGTAAGTTGTGTCAACTTGAATAACTTCTGAAAAATGCCTGGCTTCTCTAATTGAATTATTATAACAAAAAAAAGATGTTTAAGGTACTTATCTGTAATATTAATATAAGAATGTGTAAGAATTTTTGAAATAATATTAATTGGTGATTCGCCACTCAACCAGAGAGTGCTCATAGTATAATGTAATGCGGTTTACATATAGAAATTAGGGTTTTCCGAATGTGGCGTGCTTACATCTAAAACTTTTTTTATACTAAGTTAATCACTTTTGGGCCTCTAATTGAAGTTGTAGAGCTCATTGAGACAAATCTAATAGTAGTTGAATCGTCAAAATCAGCTTGGTGGATCACAAGATATCTTTGAAAAATGTTTCACTGACTATGTAAAATTCTTTTGGCATTACTATTGTTGAAAGAGAGAATTTTACATAGTCGACAAAACGTTTTTTGAAGATATCTCATGATCCACCAAGCCGATTTTGATGATTCAACTACCATTAGATTCGTCTCAACAAGCTCTACAACTTCAATTACAGGCACAAAGATAATTAACTTAATACAAAAAAAGTTTTAGATATAAGCAAGCCACATTCGAAAAACCCTAATTTCTATATATAAACCATGTCACGTTATACTATGAGCACTCTCTAGTTGAGTGGCGAATCACCATTAACTAAGCAAAATAAAGATATAGATAATTACCTTTATAAACTTCATGACAAACAATGTACCCTCTTTTTTCTATATTTGTTATTAACACCTCTATTGATGTATTTTCTTCTGTAAGATAAATTTGTGTGCCCAAATTAGAGATGTCTTTTCTTGTCATAGTTGACTCTTCATTTTCGTCTCTAATGGCTTCATATATCATACTAAGTTTGGTGCCAACCTTCAGCATTTGCATGGCTATGCATTTTGCATCTCGAGTTAGTTGGCGATATTCAGAAATAACTCTTGCATCCTTAACTATAGGATGATTATATTCATTTACCACTTCAGTGACCTGCCATCCAGAATCTTTAGGAACAACCTTTAATAGAAATAGATATCTATAACACTTGCTCATCATCTTTTTTTAGCGTATATCTGTTGTTAAATTCGAAGTATTTCAAGGTTGACTACCACGTTTACATTGAAGATAAAAATGTCAAGAACTGCTACTTTTAATGATAACTGCAAATCCAGAATATCGAGCTATTTCTTAAACAATATTAAGAATATCATTTTTTGTAGTATAATTTTGTTCTAGCATTTTAATAGCTAATAGAAAGAAATGTAAATAAAAATTAATATAAATTTTTGTATTGTTATATATTTTGCAAATTACATATTTACTTTTTGTTTCAAATATTTTTATTTCATTTTTTTTATTGGATTCAATCTTATCCTTATTATTAGATCCTGCCTCACTATTTTCTTTGTTAAATTCAATCTTGTCTTCCTCATTAGATTCAGCTTTATTGCTTTCTTCGTTAAATTCAATTTTGTCTTCCTCATTAAATTCAAACTTAATAAGTTTTCAAGATTGCTCATTTGTGGCTAGAAATAATCAAGTGTCCGGTGCTATATTATAGTGGTTTTAATAATTGGAGTTTTGGGGTGAATTTGGGTAAATACGGAAATTTGAAACCATGTATATACAAGTTTTTCGCTTTTTACTTATTTATTACTTTTTTTTTATTGCATTACAATTACAATTAATAATAAACTTTTGATTACATTATTTATTTAATCGATCTTACACATCAATTTACTACTTTATTCATTAATTTTTATTCTCTGATCCTTTTAATTTCTGAGGAACAATGGAGTAATCCTTAATATAATCACTTGTATGCATACTACTATAAATCAGATTTGATTGACTATCTATGTATATATTAAAAAAATAGGGTATTCATGTTGATTATGTCGATCATTTGCTGTGCCGATAATATAGATAAGTTACATGCATGCTGTGTCATTATAATTTTTCAAATTGAAGGTATTGTTGAGGTAGTTATAATTTTAATATTGCATGTGACTACTATAAGATTATTGAGACTTGGTCTGAACCTGACTTGGGATCAAGTCAAAATTAAAACTCGACTCATGGAGTTGGACTAAACCGGACCAGACTTTTAATATCCTTACTAATTTGAAATCTGGATCATTAATAATTACTGTATTTTCACAGAATAATGCTCATATGCATATTATTTTGAGTTTGCGCATAAGCATTATTTTGAAAACAAAAATGTTCTGGAGTTAGATTGATACTAAGTGAACCTAGTTCCGGAGCTAGATTGATACTAAGTGAACCTAGTTCCAAAGCATTTGTTGTAAATAAGCGCCCTTACTAGTTATTTTGAAGCTATATATGTTATTTTTGGGGTGCAATTTCGATATAATGCTCATGAGCATTATTCGCAGAAATACAGTAAATTGTTTTTTTATAGATTGGCACAAACTTTAAAAAGATTTTTGTATTACTATCGGCCCTCCCAAAACCGATCCTGTAAAAACTAATAATCTGCCATAAACGATTAAAATGTGGTCCACCATATAGGTTCTATAAATATAATCAATTTATTTAAGTTTCTGATATGGTTGGCGCAACAGATTATACAATGTTCATTGATGTTCTAAGCACGTTCAACCAATCAGAATTAATCACCGGCAAACATACACAAACAATTTTTGCAATTTTTTTAAAAACTTTGAACGAAGTTTTCTTAATAACTACCTGGCAAAATTTTATAAAACTTTTTTTATTTTAAT